CATCCATCCATCCATCCATCCATCCCTCCCTCCATCCATCCATCCATCCATCCATCCATCCATCCCTCCATCTCCATTTGCCCATCTTCCACTCCCACCCACTCAACCACCCACCCTTCTATCCTTTTTATCTATTCACCCACCCACCTTCTCCCTCCTTCCACCTCCCCATCCCTCTCTTCCTCCCTCTCTTTCCTTCTTTCCTTCCTAGCCTTGGACCTGGCCATGTCCCATGTCTCACCTCCCACATCCCACCTCCCATGTGTCCCACCCCCCATCTGGCAGTGCAGCACCCCCAGGAACTCACAGCCCAGCCCAGCACGGTGGGCTGAGGATGCTCCACCTCCCCGAGATGCTCATAACCCCAAACTTCTTCTCCCCATCCCGTTTCCTCCCCACAGACCCTCCCCGGAACCTGGAGATGAAGGCCTTTGTGGAGAGCAGCGAGGGGGCCGCAGTCATCCTCCTCTGCTCCGTGGAGAGCAACCCCCCATCCCAGGTCACCCTGCTCAAGGGGGGGCAGTTGGTGGCCTCCAGCCCCCCCGAGGGAGGTGACAACCCCGGGCAGAGGATCCTCATGTCCCCAACTCCCAATGCCTTGAGGCTGGAGATCCAAGAGGCATCTGAGGATGATGAGGGGGAGTACGAATGCCAGGCACAGAGTCCCCTGGGCAGTGCCCACGGGTCCCTGCCCCTCCAGGTGCAAGGTGAGGCTGGTGTCACCACAGGGACATGGGGATAAGGAGCTGGGGACCCCCAGGCCTGGTTGGTGGGGTGGGCATCCAAGGGCATGGCTCCAATAGGAGGTCCCAATCATGTGTGGAGCAGCTGAGGGATGTCCAGCCTGGAGCAAAGGAGCTGAGGGGAGACCTGCTGGCTCTGCAGCTGCTGAGAGGAGGTTGGAGCCAGGGGGGTCGGGCTCTGCTCCCCAGGAACAAGCCCTGGGACAAGAGGGAACGGCCTCAAGTTGTGCCAGGGGAGGTGGAGGTTGGATCTGGGGAACAATTCCTGCCTGGCAAGGGTTGTCAGGGCCTGGCCCAGGCTGCCCAGGGCAGGGGGGGAGTCCCCATCCCTGGGGGGGTTTCCAAGCCCTGCAGATGGTGCTGAGGGACGTGGGTTGGTTGGATGGTGGTGCTGGGTTGATGGTTGAACTTGATGATCTTAAAGGTCTTTTCCAACCTTAATGATTCCTTGATTCCAGGTGTTGCTGTTGGGAAGCAGAACATCACTGAGGGGGGTTTGGGGGTGTGTGGAGCTGGAGTGGGGTGGGCCCATTGGGCTGGGCACTCAACCCCATCCCACCCAGGCACCCCCCTGTAAAATGGGGGGGCGGGGGAGGGTTTGGAGCCAGGAAAAGCTTTTTTCCAGCTGCAACTGGGGGCAAACCCCTCTGCCCTGCTGTCCCCAGCCATCAGGGTGGTGATGCGACCCTCTGCCGAGGTGACCGAGGGGACCGACGTGACCCTGACGTGCCGGGATGGGGGTTCCCCCCGCGGGACCCTCTACAGCTGGTACAAGGACGGGCAGTGGCTCTCGGGGGGGCTCAGCTCCCTCCTCA